GTCTGTTAATAATTGCTTTATATATTTAGGTGCACCTACATTGGGTGCGTAGATATTTACAAGTGTTATATCCTCTTGTTGGATTGTTCCCTTGAACAATTAATTTAATGAAGTACAATATTTTGTTTACAGTTTTAACTTTAAAAAATTCTGTTGTCAGTGTTGCCCAAATGCATGTTTTTCAGAATGACTAACAGTCTATCTTCTACACATAGCTGGAAACCAACTCTCCCGAAACAAACTGTGGGACTGACTGCATCTTTCAGGTATCTCGGGTATTTACTTCACCTTCACCCTATCACTTCATGCTACCAGCTGAGGAGTCACATCAATTGTCCTATTTTAAAGAGGAAAAAGAAAATAGGGAGGCGCTCAAGGCAGCAGGTGGTATGGCTTACCCACACAGCCAAAAGACCCAAATGCTTAGGTCATACGAACCCTTTAAACACTATTCCATGTAACCCAAGCTCTGCCAATCAGACTCGTTCTCCCAGGAATTCATAACTGGGATTGAGACACTAGTAGGTCTAGTAGCAGAGTTGCTTGCTTAAATGGAAAAATGTGACCTCAGAAATTTATTTTGGGACCAAAGTGCTGAATTAGTCTGACTCCTATCTCTGGTTCCTTTCCCCAAGATCAACCCCAGAGGAACACAGATGGAAAATGGGAGAGAAAAAATAAAGTAAGAAACCCCTGGGGTGATGGTTAGGGAGAGGAATGGTGGGGATGGGACGGGTGACTGTTTTAACCTGGTCTGTGTGGAAGGGGGTACTTTTGGCCTGGACCAGAAGGCAGTCCATCACGGCTGTAGGAGAATAAACAGAAGCTTTGTTAGTTTGGCTCTTGCTCCTCCCAGTGCCCTGAGCATCAGCACCTACCCCCACACACCGTGGGGGGTTCAAACTACCAGTTCAGATGTCCTCGGGAGTAAATAAGCACAGTGCAGAAGCCTTGTGCCCGTGAAGGACTGAGAAAAACAGGTGGGAACCAACTGATCTCTGCCAGCCTTCACTTTCCACACAACCAGGGTTAGGGAATGACAATCTCAGAAGTGTTTCCTGCTAACACTGCTTCTCCCTGAGGGACAAAGGGGGAGGATTTGACCTTAAGAGTGATTAACTCTCATTTAAAGATGCCTAGAGATCTCTGCCCAGTCCATCTTCCTGAGATCATTTGGGTTGTTAAGGACTGAGGTCTGGCCTTCCCCCCATTCACATTGCCTGATGGATTAGAACAGCTAATAGTTGCAGTAAAAAAAAAACTCTGAGACCAAAATAAAAATTTTAGGAACATAACCATAACCCAAACAATGGATTATAGATTCAAAGAGAAGAACAAATATTAGACCAATGGACCGAGAACTACTAAAACATGTAAAAGTGATGAAGAATATGAAATATAACCAGTATGAGATAAGAACAAGAAACTATTAAAGGAACCAAGCAAAAATTAGGGATCAAAGATATAATAGCTGAAAATAACAACACAATAGATGAAAACACAAAAGATGACTATCAGAACAGATACATTTGAGGAAAAATTAGCTAATTGGTATGACAGTTTGAGGAAATATCCCAGAAAGAATGCACGGATGCATGTACAAAGAAATAACAAATATAAAACGCTTCCAGAACAAAACAGAAGATAACACACAAAGGCACAAGAATCAGACAGCAGATTTTTCAATAGCAACACTGATGGAAAAAAATAGGACAATGAAGTTATATTTTCAAGATTGAAGGAAAATAAACCTAAGATTTTATATTCAACACAACTGTCAATTCATTTATAAAGGCATAGCTCTCAGCATACAAAGCCTCAAAAGTTCTGCCTCACAAACCCTTTGAAAACAGTTTTGGTTGCGGTACTTTTTAACAAAGGGACAGAAAAATGCAAAGGATGCTGCAAGAGATATATGGAGAAAAGGGGATCAAATACCTTGATATATTTATTATCTTTTTTTTAAAAAAAAAAGCCAAGGCCAAAGAAAAAGGAAAAATAATATCTCAGTCTGCGTAACAATAACATGATAGTGGTAAAGAGCAGCAAGTTGTTTTCTTACTGAGGAGGAGATTTGGATATCAAATCTTCTAATTGAAAAGAAAAGAAAGGATTAAAATGAAACAGTGAAATGTTTGAAATGTAAACTGAAATAATAAATTATGATGACAGAAACAGATCTAAGTAAAATAATTTTAATACACGTAAATTCAACAAAATCCAGGTATATACTATTTCAAGAGACATACCTAAAACATAAGGACACGTAAAGGTTGTAAAAGGATGAAAAAGAAATACTAGGCAATTATTAACTTAAGAGATTTGGTGTAGTTATATTAATAGTAGATAAAACAGACTTTAAAGAACTTATTTTAGGGTGGCTAGACACACTTGAGATAGTGAAAGCTGGTGGCCAATGAGAGAGTGTGGTAAGGCTGAAGGGTGGGAGGGAGCCCAGGTCTTAGGTGGCTCTCCAGATCCTGTGGCTAGTCCCTAGTGAAGCCACCCTCGTTGCTGTCTTTCAGTTGCCTAAGATACCCGGTTCAATTCCAGTAATTTCTCTTTCCTTAAGCTGGTTGAAGTAGACTTCTTCAAAGTTACTTGCAACCAAAAGGATTTTACTACAACAGTTCCCTCTGTGGGTGCTTAAAAACGTTATGTAACTAAAGAGCCCTGAAGAAAACCAGTAGCAGACTCACCATCATCAGGTTTCTTCACAAACTTGACTCCTAGTTCTTCAAACCTTTTACAAGCAGCATGTACATCAGGAACAGCAATTCCAATGTGACCTTAGGTGACCACCCGCAAAATAAGGCAGAGAGAAGGAAGAAATAATTATAACGGGGTCTCCAAGCACCACAAGTAGCTTCCAAAACCAGTTTATTTCAAAACACATAAGGCACCCAAAAACAGACTGAAACAAGTAGGTTCAAAACCTATAATACCGTATATTAGACAACAAGAATCTAAGTCTAACTGGCTGGGTAAAATTAATTAGTTGCTCTGAATTATAAATTATTTAAAATAAGCCAGTATTGGCTCATATATAGTTCAATCTGTTAAGAATAACCTACATCAAAAAACAGTAATCATTTACTCATATTCAACATGCTTATTGTTGACATTGCCTATATAGCAGCCAATTTAAGCCTGTAATCCTGTTATCTTGATTGGGAGATTTTAAATTTATTTATTTATTTTATTTAGTGTGTGTGTGTGAGAGGAAGATCAGCCCTGAGCTAACATCCATGCCAATCCTCCTCTTTTTGCTGAGGAAGACTGGCCCTGGGCTAACATCCGTGCCCATCTTCCTCCACTTTATATGGGACGCAGCCTCAGCATGGCTTGACAAGTGGTGCATCAGTGCACGCCCCGGATCCAAACCCAGGCCACCAGCAGCGGAGAGCGAGCACTTAACCGCTACGCCACGGGGTGGCCCCTTGACTGGCAGATTTTTAGATCAAGGTAGAAGTGCATGCCAGCAGAAATAGGGATTATTTATTAACCATAGATTTTGCTTTTGTTTTTTAAATTAAAAAGTCTACTGGAAATAGAATACTGAGTCTGAAAAGTAAAATCATTGTGAAAGAGTAAATGTCAAGTTAAGACTGAGACTATAAAATTAAACAACTCCTAAATAAAATTATTTGTGGAGAATAAAAATAACCATACTCCTAATAAATTGATTGTAGTTAATGTTTTAGGTTTATTAAAATCATAAATAGGCACACAATGCAAAATCACACAAATCTATAAACATTACATGCAAATAGGCAAACATACCAAATCCTCGAGGGTCTGAATTGCCACTGTGGTAACTCTGGGTCTCATCATTTTCAGTGCCCCAATTGCTACAAAAGAAGGGAAAACATAACTACAAGTGACCTGTAGAACAAATATTCTGAAAAGAAAGTTGCAACAAGCTGTCTGAAATTTTTACCATGTATATATGCTACTTAATATACTTGGTCTAATCTCTGCTACTGTAAAATATTAAGTTTTCAACTACAGAAAGGGCAAACGAGCAAAGTATGATTTTTTTTTTTTCAAAGTATGATTTTAAGTAGACTAAGGAGACAGTAAAACTAGGCATCTGGATAAGAACAATAATGAAGATAACACCAACTATTATTTATTGTGCTAAGTACTTTACATTTCATTAAATCCTCAACATAGCTCCATGGGCTAGATCTGAGTCTCCATTTTATAAATGAGACTGCCACTTAAGGAGGTGATAGAACTTGTTCAGGGTCCCAGAGCTATTGTCAGAGCCAAGACTCATCACACACCCTGAAACAAATGCTCTTTTGTTAGTTGTTAAAGAGTGCATAGGAACAACATAAAGAATAAAAAAGAAAAGAAAAGGGAATTCCGATTTCAACATGTTGAAATTACGCAGACCTTAGTTATAGTACCTAAACGTCTGTTAGCTACAGTTGGCCAAATACCTTGCCATATCACTCATATTCTCTATCTAAAAGGCAAATGATCTCACTTGCCCTACCTATGCCAAGAACAATACAAAGACCAAAAGATGCATGAAAAAACACTCAAACATATTGTTACAAATGCAAAGTGATTAGGCAGATGTGGTTTGAAGTAAGCTGGTAAATAAGGGAAAAAGTTTTAAAAAACGAGCTTTAAAAAAATACAGAATATATAAAAAGATAAAAACTCATACTTACTGTGTCAGTTCAAGTGCAGCTTTTCTGGAAAATACCCACGCTACTTTTTCATCTTTATCTTTTGGGATGTCCTTTTTATCCTCATAAGCCAAGAAAAAGAGTGAAAATTTCATAGTGGGAAAATCTGATTTTTGGAGTAGCCTGAAATTAAACAACAAGAAGTCTGAATCAATTAATAACAGGAAAGGCTTGGGCAGGCCCCGTGGCTTAGCGGTTGAGTGCTCGCGCTCTGCTGCTGGTGGCCCGGGTTCGGATCCCGGGCGTGCAGCGACACGCCGCTTCTCTGGCCATGCTGAGACCGCGTCCCACATACAGCAACTAGAAGGATGTGCAGCTATGACATACAACTATCTACTGGGGCTTTGGGGGAAAAATAAATAAAATAAAAAAAATTAAAATAACAGGAAAGGCTGATTCAAGCAAAAATCAACATGACAATATTCAAGTTTCACTAAGAATAGGAGCTGTACATAGTGAGGCTATTTTAATAGGAAAACCAGGGGGAAATCAATGAAAAAAATCCCTTTAAAAAAACCTATTCATCTGTAAATATGAGTGAAATAAAACACTTTTTAAAAAAGCAAACTTTTGTAATTCATCACTTCTTCAAATATAAAGAAATTTAGCTGGAAATACAGTACTTGTTCATAAACGGCAAAAGGTATCTTCAAAAGAAAATTTTATTTTTAGTGAAAAATATAATGCATTACCTTATTGTTCTTTCAGATATGTGGTATTCAGTTAAATAAAGTAAATTTATTGAGTTTCTACTATGCCAAAACTCCTCGGAAAAGAAACTGAGGATAGACGGTAAGAGAGAAGGAAGGGCAGATTAATATCACAGAACACAAAAATGTCAACAATAAAGTGGTTAAGGGCCGGCCCCACGGCTTAGCGGTTAAGAGCGCACGCTCCGCTGCTGGCGGCCCGGGTTCGGATCCCGGGCGCGCAGCGATGCACTGCTTCTCCGGCCATGCTGAGGCCACGTCCCACATACAGCAACTAGAAGGATGTGCAGCTATGACATACAACTATCTACTGGGGCTTTGGGGGGAGAAAACAAAAACAAAAACAAAACAAACAATAAAGTGGTTAACGGTATCAAATACTGCAGAAAGGTCAAACAGGATTACGACTGAACAGGTCACTAGATGTGGAAAGGTCCTGCGAGGGCAGTTTTAGTAGCTTGGGGCAGCAGAAGCTGGACTGCCCTGGACTGGGAGAGAATGGGAGGTAGTAAGTAAAATAGCAAGTGTGGTCTCCATACATAGATGGTGGGTGATGACGGGAAGGAGGGCAAGAACAGACGGTAAGAACTACCCTAGAATACAGGAAGACTTAAGCTTTTTTGAAGGTTGAGGGGAAAAAGCCAGTGGAAAAGGAGAGACTGATATGAGAGAAAGAGTGAATGAATTACCAATCTTGACGTTTTAAAAAAGATAATTGAAGTGAGTATTATAGTGAAACTCACTATAAAGTGAGTTTAAAGAGTATAAGATGATTTTGTGAGGAGTAGGGTAGATTGAGGATGCGTACAATAAAATTTTCTTTAGGTCACTGAGGATTAAATGCTCAAAGATGACCTCATTCATAATCAGTAAGAGTGAATGACTGAAGCATAGCAAATGGAAAGTTTCTAGAGTTCTGTTCCAAATCTTTTAATTATCACTGTTATCACATATGCCTTAGCCCACTAAGATCTATGCTTTAACCTATCACAAAAAGATTTACTGGAGCACATGAACCTGCTGTACTCGCTTTTCTCAGCTGAGCACATCTTTCAGTACAGTGTCAAGTTGCATCCTCTTTGGGGGCTCTTTAAAAACAAGATCAACATTGGAGTCAATCAGACCTGGATTTGAATTCCAGCTCTGCCACACGCCCACTGTGGGGTTTGGGGCCAGTAACTTGATGTCTTTGAGCTTTGGTTTCTTCCTTCATTTGTAAAATGGGGATATAAACTACCTCATAAACCTACTGTGAAGACTGAATGAAATAACATGTCAAGACCCTGGCAAATAGCAAGTGTTCAATACATATGTTTTCATTCTGTCCTTTAAATATGCCATAGATATATGCAAAACTACTTCTTCTGGAAAGAATTACAAGAAACTGTTGGCAGTAATCTTTGGGGAGAAGGTCTTAGAGAGGTAGGCTATCATTTTTCATTTTGTATTTTCTGAATTGCTTAGATTTTCTAAACATAAACATATACTGTATTACTTGAATTTTTCTCTCAACATCAATGGAGGTTATCTAGGCAGTACATTAAAGATCATTTTATTCTTTATGTATCTATATTATCAAAAAGAAACAAAAAACCCTCATGTTATTTAGGGACACAAATCAAGAAAAATAAAAAGGCTAAAGGTGGCCATAAAATCAAAAGTGTCTGGACACATTAAGGATTTAATTGGCAGCTCTGGGAGAGAAAGGAGTCAGAGAAAATGCAAATATTGGTGTCTTGTTGTCCAATGAGCCTGGCTGGGATAGAGGAGAAGAATTTTTTTTTTATTGAAGTAACACTGGTTTAAAACATTATATAAATTTCAGGTGTACATTCGTATATTTTGACTTCTATATAGACTACATCATGTTCACCAGCAAAAGTCTAGTTTCCATGCCATCTGTCACCATACAAATGTGCCCTTTTACCCCTTTTACCTACCCTTTCCCCTCCCTGCTTCACCTCTGTTAACCACCAATATATTCTCTGTATCTATATTTTGTTTGTTGTTGTTATCTTTCACATTAGTGAAATCATACAGTATTTGCCTTTCTCTGTCTGACTTATTTTGCTTAGCATAATACCGTCAAGGTCCATCCATGTTGTTGCAAATGGCAAGATTTCATCTTTGAAATCTTGCCATTTGTAGTAGTATTCCATTGTGTGTGTGTGTGTGTGTGTGTGGGTGTGTGTGTGTGTACATGTGTATGTGTGTGTGGGTCTACACCACATCTTCTTTATCCATTCATCCATCAGTGCACACTTAGGTTGTTTCCAAGTCTCGGCTATTGTGAATAATGCTGCAATGAACAAAGCGGTGTATGTATCTCTTCAAATTAGTATTTTTGTGTTCTTTGGATAAATACCCAGAAGTGGAATTGCCGGATCATATGGTAGTTCTATTTTTAACTTTTTGAGAAATCTCCATACTGTTTTCCATAGTGGCTGCACCAGTTTGCACTCCCACCAGAAGTGTATGAGAGTTCCCTTCTCTCCACATCCTCTCCAACACTTGTTATTTCTTGTCTTGTTAATTATAGCCATTCTGATGGGTGTGAGGTGATATTTGATTTGCATTTCCTTAATAATTAGTCATGTTGAACATCTTTTCATGTGTTTGTTGGCCATCTGTATATCTTCTTTGGAAAAAATCTCTTCAGATCCTCTGCCTATTTTTTAATTGGGTAGTTTGTTTTTTTGTTGCTGAGTTGTATGAGTTCTTTATATATTTTGGATACTAACCCCTTATTGGATATACGATTTACAAATATCCTCTCCCAATTGGTAGGTTGTCTTCTCGTTTTGTTGATGGCTTCCTTTGACGTGCAGAAACTTTTTAGTTTGATGTAGCCTCATTTGTTTGTTTATTTTTTTTGTTTCCCTTGCCTGAGGAGACATGATATTCAAAAAGACATTGCCATGACCAATGTTGGAAGAGAGGAACTTGACAGAAGCCCTGGCCAGTCAAGCCCAGTCCCAGACTCCTGTCCAAAAGGACTTTTGGAGCAACCTCTTTTTTTTTTTTTAAATAATTTTATTTATTTATTTATTGTTCCCCCAAAGCCCCAGTAGATAGTTGTATGTCATAGCTGCACATCCTTCTAGTTGCTGTATGTGGGACGCGGCCTCAGCATGGCCGGAGAAGCGGTGCGTCGGTGTGCGCCCGGGATCCGAACCTGGGCGGCCAGCATTGGAGCGCGCGCACTTGACCACTAAGCCACGGGGCCGGCCCTGGACCAACCTTAAATCCATTTTTTAAATGCATCTGAAAACATTCTCTGTATTTGCAAAGCTATTTATTTAAACAAGTGCCAACAACTGTATTTATTACAGGTGCCAATAAATAGTTTACTCACGTCATTCCAAGAACTCTAGTATAAAAATCCAATGACTTCTTGGGATCTTTAATGCGCAGCATGGTCTGCTGGAACAAAAAGTCCTAAGGACAAACAGTATATATTAAACACCTTAACTTTTATCACTTGTTACCAACACTAATAGTGCTTTCTGTAACAAAATACAGTCTACCATTGTAACACAATATTTAAGAAGAAAGCAACTCTGTCCTCTCAGCCCACCATGGAAATCACCTGGAAACAGTTCCCATACCTACCACCTACAACTTCCTACGGCTTTCTGCCCAAGGGTGTTTTCTGGTCACAAGAGCAGGTCCCCGTGTGGGGCATGTCCAAAGTGCCCGGGAGTTTACACCCCAGGAATGACCATCAACCATCAGTGGATAAAAAACCTGGCTTCTTTGCCCCTAAGTGGGACAATTCTGAGACGTTCCACACAGTCTCTCAGAGGCTTCCTAGCAAGACTGAAGCCCAGCTGCCCCCAGTGGTAATCCAGTCTCACTTTTTATGGCCTCCCTTCTCCACTCCTCAGAGCTTTCTTTGACTACCTCCCAAATAAACTACTTGCAACCAAACTCTTATCTCCAGTCTGCTTTTGGGTGACTAAACTAAGACAGTGACATTACAAATAAAGGGTTCAAACACTGTAAAATTTGTTGAATGGCTGCATAAACGCCCTTCCAGAACTTTATTGGCAAGCAAGGAGTTACTCACAAGATCCTAGGCTTCTAAGTAACAAAAAGGGTAAAATGTTACTGTCTCTTAACACCATTGTGAAACTGTCCAATTTACAAATCAGGAAACAGAAGGCTTGACTTAACTGGTAAAAGGGCAGAGAGTATATTAACTCATGGAGTGAAGATTATTATTAGCATTAATAATAATACTTTGTCTAGGAGTCTGACTTCATTAGGTACAACTATGAGGTATTACTATCTATAGGTATTACTATCCCCATTTTACAGACGAGAAACACACTCAGGGTGATTAAATTAATCGGCCCTCTGATTCTAAGTTCAGGTCTCCTTCTACCATAGGTACCTTCCAGACCATGAGTCTTAACTACTTTTGTGCTTCCTAACAGATTTTTATTCTTGTCACACTCACAGACTTGACAGAACAGGCCTGAAAGTTGTGAACTCTCCCTTTGCAGCCACACAGACATCTCCCCACTATGACTTACATCATACAAAATACAAATATGTTTTATTCACTCAGCATCATTAGGAAACAATATTTTTCTATTTTGCTAAAGTTTTAAGTAACCAAAATCTACTCATTTTAAGCATTAAAATACTCATTCAAAACAAAACTAGCCTAAAAACTATCTTAATAAACTGATCTTAATGAATAACTTAACTCTTCATTTACAGCTTATAACCATATATAAGGCAGTTGGCTCTGAAGTTACATGTTTCTAGAATATTTGGATTGCTTTTCTCAGTCAAGTGCTACACTCCTAAAGGTCCTAGTTCCAGGAAGCAGCTGAAAAGGGGAAAAGCAGCTCCTGACATCAGGCACTGGCGTGGCACTCATAACTGGCCTTGGTTTTCTCCTGTGGAACATAATTGCAAAAACAGATACAAAGTCACTCTGTGACCGCAATGAAGCGACACCAAACAAAATTCCACTTCATATTCTTCTTTAAGCAGATTAAAACAAGGCACGGTTTTTAAGGCTTGGTATACACTACAAAAATAGCAAATGTTCCCTTCTCCCAGCTAATGTGAGAGACTGCTGCTTCTCTACCAGTCACAGTATTTGCTTGAGGAGGCCAGTTCTAGGCCAAAATCCCACGTGTGATCTTCCAAGCCTGACCATAGCTAATTACAAAGGCTGGACCTGGCAGGCCTCATGGGGGACAGCTGCCCTCCTCACACCAGACTTGGTGCACAGCCAAAGCACTGCGGTCTCTGGAAGGAGCTGCAGGCAAGGACTAAATTCTAATGAAGTTCCTGGTTATTCTATCAAACATACTGCTGTGAGGAACTCTGCAGATGAAATTAAGGTTACTCATCAGCTGACTTGAAAATAGGAAGAGTAGCCTGGATTATCCAGGTGGATTCAATGTAATCATGTGAGACATCAAAACCAGAAGACAAAGGCAGATGAGACAGAGAGATCCAGCAAAAGAAGGCAGTAGAAGAAAGGTGTGGCAGAAGAGGAAGTCAGAGGGATTCCACGTGTGAGAAGGATTCAATTTGCCATCCTGGCTTGGAGATGTAGGGGCGCATGTGCAAGGAGTTAAGGACAGCAGCACCCCCCCCAACAGCAGCAAAGAAAGTGGGGGACGTCTGTCCTACAACTGAAAGGACCTGAATTCAGCCAATAACCTGAATAAGTTTGGAAACGGGTTTTCCCCCAGGGCCTCCAGTAAGGAATGCAGACCTGTCAACACCTTGTTTCAGCCCAGGGAGACCCATGTCAGACTTTTAACCTACAGAACCACAAGGTAATAAATTTATGTTGTTTTAAGCCACTCACCAGCAACGGAAAACTAACACATCTCAACAGAAGTCCATAACTTTGGTGACGTAGGTTGTGATCTATATACAGATTTTTCAAATGATTAAAACTATCTGAAAATGTTGGTTACTACTGCATAAAGAAAACCTCAGCTATCTACTTATCTGCCCTAAAAACGTACAGAATTTAATCTTATTTTGATGATTCAAGGACATTTCTACAAACACCAATTACTCTCTTCCAATGTAATACAGGAGGTACTGGTACATTCAGTACTACTTGTCACTATATTGAAACTGTCCCTGGAACTCCTGTTTTTATTTTAGTTTTTAATGAGTTTTTAGTCTCCTTCCTCACCATTAAGCTATTGGTTGCCAATTCTATCAGCAAAATTCTCCTTTCTTGGACACACAGCCTCTAGCTAATTTCCCTAAATTCTTTGACTCTACACTTCTCACGGCCTCCCCTGCTGGCACCTTGATCTGGCTACTCTACCTCCCACCCAGACCGGTTGGTAGTCCTCTCTCTCACCCTGCCCCCTACAATCTACTCTCAGTCAGAGATCCTTTAGAAAGTTAATTCAGATCACGTCACTCTTCTGCTCCAAGACCCTGAGAAGGCGCCCCATTTCACTCAGAGTGAAACCCAAACTCCTCACCATGGCCCACTATGACTGGCCCCTGTTGCCTCTCTGACCTCTCCTTCTGCCCACTCCCTCTGCTTCACTGCCGTCTTCAGAATAGTTCACTGAACTTGTCTGCCATGTTCCAGCCTTAGGACCTTTGCACCAACAGTTCCTCTGTTGGAACACTCCTTCCCCAGAGCCACTTCTAATCTTTTTAATTCTTTGCTCAACATCATCCTCTCAATGAGGCCTTACCTCACCACCTTAAATAATTTAACTCTCCACTTCAATCCCCTTACCTTATCCTATTTTTTCATGTTCTTTTCCCATAGCACTTGTCACCTTTTAATCTGCTATTTACTATATTTATCTTTTATTGTTTTTCTTCCCCCATTAGAATACAAGCTCCAGGAGGGCAAGGATGTTTGTTTTGTTTGCTGACATATCTCAGCACAGAACCTGCAGAGTAGGTAACCAATAAATATTTGCTGAATGAGTAAATCCTAAAAGTAATGTTAGTCTTTATTATCTATTAACATAACTATGTATTATAGCTATCTAAATAAATACATGTAAAAGAATATTAAAATTAACTTTAAAAAGTCTATATGTAGTTAACAATACTATATTGTATACTTGAGAATTACTAAGAGAGTAGATCTTAAAGTTGTCACCACATACGCATAGAAAAGGTAACTATGTGAGGTGATGAATGCATTAACTAACCTTATTGTGGTAGTCATTTTGCAGTATATAGATATATCAAATCACTATGTTGTATACCCTAAACTTACACAATGTTACATGTCAATTATACCTCAATAAAGCTGGAAAAAGATAGTTTAAAAAAAAAAGAAAAACTGGAAAGGTATACCATTTTTCTGATTGAGATGACTCAATATGATGAACAGATTGATTATTTCCAAGTAAATGTATAGATGTAATATAAACTCTAATACCATTTTTAACCTTTAAAAAAAAAGTGTATACATGGCAAAAAAATTAAAAGTATATTCAATATGACTGCATTTATTTATTAAAAACAGGCTTATAATCCCTTTGCTGCAAAAGTGTTATTTGGATGATATAAAAAACAAGCAGGACTTGCTTTTTATAAAATGATCAAGTTGTTCTAAGCTCAGACAACAGTTTTCTTTTTATCACCAAAATATTCTGTTAACTCTCTGTACTTCTTGTAAACACTTGAATGATCTTAAGAAAAAGTCCCTTTCTTAAAAAGTTCCTAGGGGCCGCCCCAGTGGCGCAAGCGGTTAAGTGTGCGTGCTCCGCTGTGGCAGCCCGGGGTTCGCCGGTTCGGATCCCAGGCGCGCACCAACGCACCGTTTGTTAAGCCATGCTGTGG